ACCCCCACTACTATAGCCACTAAACTATCACCCCCCCTTTTACTTGCCACCACCCATCGCAACTCCGTCGCTATTACCACCATTGCCACTGCAACTACAACCACTACCACCATTGTAACTCTATCGTCGCCGCCATTGCCATCGCAACTACAACCACCACCACCCAACCAATGTTACTACCTTTATTGCTTCTAACTACCACTTCATTATCACAACAACCGCCTACCACTACCTCACTATTGTTGCCTCATTGCCACCACTACTTCCAACCCTTTACCACCATTATTTGACACCCACAATTATCAATACAACCACCCCCCACCATCACCCCCTAACCCCCACTAACATTATTGATGTCATCATCTCCTTGCATCATAATGCCACCACCATCACATAATCGCCATTGTCATCATTGTTTCTACTAACTTTGTCGTTACCGTTATCACCACCACCATCATAAGTCTGACCATTACTACCTCCACTATAACCACCATGATGGTGGTGATAACGGTGGTAGGGGTGGTGGTGGATGTGATTGTAGAGTGCGTGGTGACGGAGGCAATAATAAGGGTTGATGGAGGTAGTAATGATGGTGGAGACAATGGTGGGAGGGTGATGGTAGCTAAGGTGATGATAGAGGCAATTGTAGAGGTGGGGTGAAAAAGAAAAAAGGCAAAATTAGAAAAATATTAACTTTCAAATTTCAACTTCTTGTAGTGATCAAACATGTAAATCTAATTTAGTGCTTAACTTTTAGTATAAATCAAACACTTTTCTAATTAATATCAATAATCAATACTTAAAATTCAGTATTTAATTTTCAATGTTATCAAATACCACCTAGAAAGTCTTTTTTTTTTTTTTGTTTAACCTAGAAGTTCATTGAGCCAAACAATTTCTTTCAAAATCGATAAAGTTTGAAAAAAAAGAAAAAGAAAAAAGAAATAAACAGCCAGAATTTTATTTGTTTTTAGAGAGATAGAGAGACAAATTTGGCAAAAAAAAAAAAATAGCAATACTTTGCACATACCAGTAGATTACCTCCAAATTGCTCGTTCTAATGAGTCAAGGAAAAAACAAAAAACAAGAGAAGTCAATTTCAACGAGCTAATATAACACGATGTCTCGCGCTACACCAAATCACACAAACGCGGTTCAGTTGAATTGATCATCTACCTCCCGTCCCCACCTCTTCTTCTCCGACGCCGATCCTCCTCAGACTCAGACACAAAAAGAATACACAAACCTATCAGATCAGTCTTCTTAACTACCAATTCTCACGCTCATGAGTACTTCGGCAATTTCAGGAGTAAGTTCCTCTCTCTCTCTCTCTCTCTCCCCACATATAGATACCTATTATGCTTGTTTGTGGATCTTATATTGGTCCAATAATCGGAGAGTATAAGAAGATTGAATTTTGGTGTGGAATTTGGTAGGGCACGAACTTGTTTACGGGATTTACGAGGCTGTGCAAGGGCCTTGCGGTAGTGTTAATAGGTGGACACATTGTAGTTCAGATCTGGCCTTTTGCCGTTACTTACCTTGCTCTCATTCCTGCCAGGTACTCTTTTCTTCTTTGATTCCAACTTTTCACCTGAAATTCTCTGATTGTTTCGATATGAGCAATGCTATAGGGATCAAATATGGGGACCTAATCAGGGATCTAATCCAATGAAACTATTGGATTAGTTGTGTGTTCCAATGTTAGATGGAGTCCACTTTCAATCCTTTCTATGTATATGTATGTGGGGATCATGTGTTGATTAAGGAACTTGTTAAAAAGGGTAGTTGGAAAATGAAAATTGAAGTAGATTAGTTGTTATTCACTTGAGAAGCCTTAAGAAGAATGTCAGTGCTAAATGCTAATCCTGCTAATTCTGGATCCTAGTATGGATTACATACAAATCTAAATTGTTTCAATTGTTCAAGTGGGTGGTTTCTGTTTGAATTGAAACATATTTTCACACATGAAACCCCAAACATTTGCAAATGGCCATAAAACCCTTCTAGACAGTGATCAAGTACTGTACCAATTAGGGGAATGAACTAAATAACCATACAAGCTATCTTATATGTTTGACTAGAAGTCATGCTTGAGCATTAAAGTATGCAGCATGCATCTTGATTTTGACATGGCTTTTTTTGCAGTATTGATAGATTTAAATTGTATATATGCGAGCATAAACTTATATCCAAAAAAAGATTGCTACATTTGCCTATCATCAAATTTATTGTTTATGTTTCAATTGTTTTTCCTTGCTTATGTAGAACTTTGAATTGAATGACCTCGAATTAGTCACCTCACTACAATTATAAATGCATGGATTGCCCCTTTAATTTTATATCCACCGTTTTTGGTTTGTAAATGATAACAAACTATGAGCCTGCATTTTTTTCATTGTGAAGCCTGTACCTCAAGCATGACAAGGCTCACAATGTAATTCTTGCTTTAACGGAAGTAAATATCATTATCAAGGTATAGGGAAAATTTGAAGTCGTAGATAGAGTTAAACAGTTTGAAACATTTTATACATAAACTAATTAGGAGATTTGGCATATTACTTTCTGGTAGCATTTAATCCGGCCATTTCCTCAGGTCTGACAATGTCCTTTTGGCTTCAGAGTCTCTAACTCTACTGATGTGTTGAGTGATTAAGTATTTAACTTTTTGGCATGTAGTATCTGCTTTGCATCCTACCTTCTGCGAAAAAATATATTGACACGAGTTATTACTGCAAAATTTGAATGCATGCATCCTTGCTTTTCTTTGTTGATGCTTCCTAACATCTTATATGTAAAATATGCATGCATAAACTAATTTGAATGCTCTACCTTATTGTCTATCAAATGTATGAGTTAGAACCCATGGTCATTCCTGATCTCAAAATTGAAATGAGATGAAAAAAAAGGGAGTGATAAACTCAATTTTTTTTTTCTTTTTGATAAGAAGTGAAGAAAGCAGTTTGTTTCAAGTGTTAGTATCAAAACTCACTTTGGGAGGTGAAAATCACTACCATTTTCAAACCTATCCTGTAAATTTGTTTTTCCTCGGAGATTCTGGCCTTCTTTGAACGTCAAGTGTGCGTCTGTAGTTCACTTATTCAATGCTTCCTTAGCTAAGAAAATGGTAAGCATAATAAAATCACGCTTTAGCCCGACAGACCCACCATCTCTTTCCTTGCAGGAATGCCTTTTCTTCAAGATTCGTCTCAAGACCGTGATTAGAATTTCCTTCCGCTACACTCGCCAATCCATATTCGGAGTTTAGCCATTGTTTAGTAGATTGGAAATCAATGCTGGAAGCATTGACTGCTACACATACCAATCCAGAACCTTGACTTTATGCATGATTTAGTAACTTGGAAAGCATTGACAATGTCCAAATGGGATTTCGTATGAACTTCCTTATTTGAATCAAATGCCTTATTTTTCTTTTTTCTTTTTTATTTCCATTTTTGAAGAATAAAACCACGTAACTCCATATCCTATAAACTCTAGAAAGAGATGGTTTTCTGCACTAATGCTACAACATGCCTTTTTAATTTGATATTAGCTTTAGAAAGGACAACCAAGCATGATGCTCGGAGACTTGGAGTTTACAAGTATTTGCTCCAGTGACTTAAAACTTATTCATCTGATATTGCAGCACAATTCCATTTGCTTGGAATCTCCTGACGGCTGGTTATGTTGAACAGTCAATACATGGGGTATACTCTTTTTTGGCTGTTGTTAATGAATTCATTCTTTTCCCAGTGAAGATCCCTCTCTCCTTAAGTCTCTGTCATGATGTGGTTCTGAAAGTCATATTTGTTTTCCAGATGCTCCTCAGTACAATTGGTCTCCTTTTCATCGGGAAGCTGCTTGAACCCATTTGGGGTTCTAGGGAATTCTTGAAGTTCATCTTTGTAGTTAACTTTTTAACATCTGTTTGTGTTTTCATCACAGCTATTTCTTTGTACTACATAACAAGGCAGGAACGCTACCTGTAAGTATGAGATCCTCATTGTCCTGGAAACGTATGTTTTGGCTATTACTTTTCCTTTTGCCTCCATTTTTCCTGCTCTCATTTGGTGTTGAATTAACTTTCTTCCTTTCTACGCATTCCAGTACTCTTTAGCCTTCCAGTGGGGGCTGAGAAGAGGGAGGGGAAGTGCCCATCCTTTGATGCACTGCCTCTTTTTCTTTTTATTACGTCTTGGTAACCGAAAAAAAGAAAAAAAGATTTAGCTAGAATCACAAAGTTTGGTTTACACTAAGGCTGCTTCTGTCTAGCCATTGTCTTCTTGGTATTATTTTATGCCTGTCAAGGTACAAAGGTCAACTTTTATAAGTTCTGATGTTCTTATTTATATGCCTCTTTCTGCCTGTAGTTATATGCCTCTTTCTGGCTTCCATGGAGTTCTTTCAGGATTCCTAGTTGGCATCAAGCAAATACTACTCGACCAAGAGCTGTCTGTGGTTAGAGTAAAAGCAAAGGTATGAACATACGGAGAGTACCAATTTTTTTTCAGATCCATATCCAGAAGCCATTTGTATAGTATTCAGGAAGTTGAAGATATCTGCACTTACACCCCTTATTTTTTATTCTGGATTTATGCAGTGGTTGCCATCTCTCGCGCTGTTTCTGTCCATTATTATATGCTTCTTTACGGGGGAGACAACTACAATCCTACCAACCTTAATATTTGGCACATATATGGGCTGGATTTACCTCAGATACTGGCAGAGGAACCCTGAAACGAAATTTAGGGGTGACCCAAGTGACGAATTTGCATTTTCTTCATTCTTCCCTGAATTTTTAAGGTGATTTAAGCATTCTGCTACTTTTGCACTCACAATAACTATTTGTGAGTGCCTCTCTCTCTCTCTCTCTCTCTCTAAAATATTGCATCTTGCTGGGTGAGTTGCAGACCAGTCATTGAACCCATTGCTACAATATTTGGTCGGATGCTCTGTGGAAGATCTGAAACTTCCATTGAGGCCAGGGGTTACACTACCGGTGGAGCTCCTTTGCCTGGCTCTGATCCCATTGAGGCAACTAGGAGGAGGTAATCTTATTGCTCTTTGTCAATTAAGTCATGTTTGCTTGTGGAAATAGTACAACCTTATTTAATTTGGCTAGTGAAGATAGTTGAGAAAATCAATTTATTGGGGCATGTGTCGATGAAGCTAAAACATAAAAGTTACAGAGAATATACATTCCGAGTAACAGTCCTTATGGTAGCTGTAACATGGACAGAAATCTTTGTTTTGAAAATGGATTGTATCCACGTGGAAGGGTGTCATCTTCATCTTTCAAGCGACAAACACCATTAGTTATCATGGTTCTGATAACATTTGAAGGCATAAGTCCATTGCTGCCATGATAAGGGGGAACTATTCCACACAGTTAGGAGTTCAGAATGATAGAAGTCGTCAATAAAATATTTCAATGCTGAACGCATCCACGATATGAACCATAAATTTTGATTAGTATGATGAACGTGATGCACATATTCTAGATTTTTCATGAGACACAATGAAATGTTCTGAAAAGGAAAAGAAGGTCAGAAAAACACTTGAAACATTAATAATTTCATAATATACACCCAGCAATATATCTTCTGTGTTTTTCATCAGAATTATGTATGTGTGTAATAATCTCTCAGCAAGTCAGCAACAAATAAATAATGAGACACCAACAAATTCATTCTGAAGGACCGAAGTGTGCTGTCAGAAAAATTACAGGCTTATGTGTCAGACTTGCTTCAATAGAGTGAGTCATGAAGCTAACAATATTTTGATTATGGCTTGACAAAAAGTGAGCTTTAACAAAGTAAATGCAATAGCTATATGTTCGTGGAACAAAAGACAGTATATAATTATAATAGTATGTTAGTTGCCCATTCATTTACATTTCCAATTCCTCCCCCTCCCCCCTCGATGTGTGCTGCTTCTGCCCAGGACCAGCTTTATGCGTCTCTGTAATGTGTGTGCATGTGTGTTTTTCACCATGAAAGGGTGGTGTTCTAAATTTATGTTTTGTGATCACATTCCTGTTTGCTGAATTGCAGGGAAAGGGGTGCTCGAGCACTGGAAGAAAGATTGGCAGCTGAGAGATTGGGTGCCTCAGGGAAGCCAGAAGACTCGGAAAGAGATGCCACAGAGAATGTTTGAAAGCCCTCGGAAATGAAATTTAGAAACGCAGAAAACTAACAGCCTTATGAGTTATGTCTATGCCTTTGCTATGCCAGAGGGCAGAGGCTGCCAAGGATTTGGTGATAGCATGTGTTTTGCTTGGACAATGATCCTCATAATACAAAATTCTGTTGTTTTGTCTTGCACTTGTTGCACAGAGTGGTTCTTCTATATTCTTGTTCAAAATGACAATTTGTCAAGTACATAAGTGTTTTAAATCTCATTATCTAATATTCACTCTTCAAAAGGTGGGCTTGAAAAGCGGTTGTTTTTATTATGATCATTGTAACACAATTGGTTAAGTATTGATATGACTTATGAATATAGGAGATGAATCATGATTCGAAGCATCGTTGGCAATGGATTAGCCACTATTTACCCTATCAAGGCCAATTTCATTCTATGTTTAGACTTGAGGCTAAAAGCAATTGCCCACTAATTTCAATTAGGGTTTTTTACATTTTGTGCATTGAAAGATGTCTCGATTCTAACTTTGTATCCTAAAATATTATTTTTGTCACATTGTATTTTGAATATTATAAATTAGTTTTAATGTAGCTCTCGGACTAACATTTGTTTTAAATTTTGTTAAAAATTGATGAATATGCCACTCGTGTGTGTTGTTCTTAGGTAAAAATATAAACTTACTATTTATATATTTGGGTGGCATGTATATCAATTTTTAATAGAATTTGAAAAAGATGTTAGTATAATAGTTATATTAAAACTAATTTATGACATTTAATGAGTAATGCGAGCGCGAAAAGCCTTTCAATTAAATAATTTTGAAGGGTAAGGGGGGAACTACTAGCCCAACCACACAAACAAAAGGAGGATATATCATTATAGGAGTTTTATATCTTATTTGTTTTGCTCCAATTCCAACAACTAAACTCTTTTAAATTTGGGTTGCTCGACTGTTCCAAGTTTCTTTCTTTCTCAGCCATGTCACATGTGCCTCCCTCATCTATTGACAGGTCAAAGGGGTCTCTGCCCCATAATGTCGACATGCACTCTTCCTCTTCTTTTTTTTTTGCGTTGGTTCAGAAAAGATTCTTATTTTCAAGAAAAATCATATGTATGCAATTTTATTTTTATACGTAAATATACATGTTATTTTAGCAATTCAATTTTTTGATGTCAAATCACAAAACAACAAGTATTTTTCCGTCCAAATTAAACGAAATATTGATTAATGATTATTATTATGTATATCTAAAAATTAAACATTTGCTTAAAAATTGTAATTTTTCATATTATTAAAATCTGAAGGGACTAGGGTAATAATTTTATTGTTAGTTGTCTATAATATGTAAATCAAAATATTTGTGTCAACTATTACTACTCTAGAAATTCAAACTAATATGATAAAATTTTGTTTTGCCTATTTAGAAAACGAGAAATATTTTCAAAAATAGATAAAAAAAATTAATAATTTATTTTAAAAATATTTTGAGAACTTGGTTTCAATACATAAAAATATCTTGAAAAATCCACAAAATTTAATGAAATATTGGTGAAAATATGCGAAAAATATTTTGAAGCATTAAAATGCTGATTCAACTAATTATTTCAATTTTTTTTTTTAAAAAAGGAAAAAGTTTTGACCTTTTCACTCTTTTCAAAAAGGAATTTTAATCGTTCCTTATGTGTTACATGTTCTTTTCGTGTTTTAATTTGGGGATTTACATGCTTCGTGCATGCGTGTAGAAACAAATAAAAGACCAGACCAAACTCTCCTCCAACTCTAATTCTTTCCGTAAACACAAAACATTACCAAGCGCCCACCCAATCCAACCCCCACAAACTCCTCCCTCTACGCAATCTGTGATTCTATATTCATTCCCCTTTTCTTCTTCCATCGGACGATCGTTTGATTCCTGCCGGTGTCTACACAGTCTGACGTCCCAAGGTTCGCGCTAAACCTTTTCCGGCAATAGTTTTCGTCTATTTTCCGATCAGTTAAGCACAGATATATTTTTTGTCCAAATCTGTGTTTGTTGGATCGGTTCAATTATGTAGATAGATATATTTGTATATTTCAATACCTTCAAATTATTGTTGTTTTGTTCAATTTGGTTATCGTTTTAATTATGTGTAGAAAACAAGGAATTCAGTAGAATTTTGCCAATTTAACCATGAATAGATTTGATTTTTCTGTTCGATCATATCTATTACACGCGAGAGGGATAATCAATGTTCTTCGATGTGTTCTATTGTGTATATCTATACGCGTATGATGTTTGATCGCACAATTGTTCCCCGTTTGGCTTTGGACTTTGATTTTTTCAATAATTTTTGGTTCATAGTCCTTTTTTTTTCTTTTTCCCGGAAGTCAAATGCAATATCATTGTTCTTCATAACAAACAGCAATCGAGCATTCCACAGAGGAAGGCCTGTCGAGCAAGACAGTAAAAACAGAACAAAATAGGGGAGAGAAAGAGAGAGAGAGGGTACTTCCGTGAGGGGTGCAAAAATATTAGGAGGTACCCCAACCAGAATTGACTTTAGTGCAGTGGAGTATACCAAATAGACACCTTGAGAAAGGAGGATGATGTACTGGCATATCACAGAATGTACAAGGCAGTTGGTTGGTAGGTCCCAGGCTTGAAGGAGGCTTTGAATCCTGGGGAATTCTTGAACTTGAGGGAGGCAGCTCAATTTCTAATGAACTGGAGGATGGACTACAGTAACATTCTATGATGCCTGGCCTTATTGATGTGGACTCTGGAGTTCCTTTCTTTCTAGACAGTGGCAGAGCCACGGTTGGACTGATGAAGAAGAGCCATGTTTGGACTAGGGGGCACTGGCCCCACTCACTTTTGGGTCACCTTTAATAAGGAACCATAATTTTATTTAATTTACGGCATCTATCTCCTGATTTTTTGAAAATTTCTATAATGATCCTAGTAGTCTTTTTTGTTGTATTTTCAATAAATTAATGGTCCACTGGACTGCTAAAACAAATGTTTTATTTTTGAAGCTTTTTTAAAGGCCGATTAGTCCAAAAGGCTTGTTTGGGGGCTCTGATGCGTACTGGCCGCCAAAATGATGTAACACAAGCATTTTCTGCTAGTTTAGATAATCAATTTCTTAACAAGATCAAGAATGATCTTTGATAAGTTTCGTGACTAAATGAGGGACAATTTTGTCACAGATTCAATGATTCTGTACATCAAAAGAAAACTAATTAGAAATTTAGCCTACAATTAATCAATTACTGAAATTTTTTGACATTTTAAAGAAAGTTGTGTTCCAAATTAATATATGATTGAGTTGAAATGTACTACAAAAAAATTATTTAGTGTCTTTGTTTAGATTTTGTTTAGACTAAGTCACTAAGTGAATTTAATTTTACCGTTTTATATAGTAATTTAGTCTATTTTGTCATGCTTGAACTTATTTCTTTTTATAACCACTAATGTGTTGTTTTTAGTCATATTTTGCCCCCAATTATAGATTCATGACTATGTCTCTGTATATAGATATTGTACATGACCACTTGAAGATTGAGTTTTTGTGACACTCTTCGGAGAGACTTTTTATATGTAACAAATTTTATTAATAATAAGAAATAGGTAATACAAATGAAGAATAAAGGTGGACAAGTAGTCCAATCCTTATGTTACACAACCAAAGACAGGCCCATTAAGGCAACAAGCCTAAACATAACAATAAAACTAACATAACAATAAAACTATCAACTATAAACAATAGGGACTTGCCATTCCATCCATCTCACTACAACATGGTCTAGAACTTGTGGCCAAGAGCTTGGCTACCATTATTCACCAGTAAGCTCCATTAAATGAGACTAGATGCTATGGGAATATTAGCACTCGAAGAGTAGGTGATGATGAGACTCGTTGGCTATTCTACATAGGGAACACTCTAACCCAAATGAGTAACGTAGAGATGATTCCTGTCCTTGATGCTAAGCCTCTTAAAGCCAACCAGAATATGAAGCTCATTCAAGGAGTGGCTTGGCTATACCATTCTACATGGTGCCATGATACACTCAGAGATTGCTCCTTTAGCTGATTCCAAGCAAAGGCAGAGGAGAAGAGACCATTAGGGATGAAGACCATGTAATCACATATTCTCTATTGTGGTTTGGAAGATAATTGGGGCATGCCGTTAGTAATTTCCTCTAACACTTGTTATTGTGTGGAAGGCCCAATATTCACAATATTGGAGACCTTGGCATCCTTTGGCAAATTTGAGACACTAATAATGATATTGCTTCATCTCGATAATAAACGCCCAGGTGGGTGCCAAACTGCCAATTGTCATGCCAAGGGTTAGTACTTTCACCATTACCTGTATTATGGACAAATATAGGTCTAATGGAGTCCCTCAGTTTAGTAAGTTAAGCTAGTTCCAAGAGCATTTATGAGTGGGCTTCACCTCCTATGAGTTTCTCCCTCCAGGGTGACAGGAATGCATCGACCTAGCCATAGAATTTGCTTATCTAGAAGAGAAACTCAATGTGCATGGTCGTAAATGTAGAGTTACAGTCGCTAATATTCCTTATACCCAACCCCCCTTCTACCTTTTATTTGTGAACCTCCTCACAAGCCATTTTTTGCTCCAGTAGGTTTCGGTTCTGTCCCACTCCATAGGATTGAGCTCATGACCCTCTTTGCCTTGTCTATTACTTACTGAGGAATGCACAGGTTGGATGCCCATAATGGAAAGATACTGAGCAAGACTGAGTTGGAGTCTTTTAGCAAAGGATAAGTATTTGTTTGTCCAGATTCTAATTCTTGCTTCCATTGTCTCAATGAGGAGGTTACAATGTAGAGCTGAGTCTTGAAGTCGCCAAAAAGTACTCCCACTTATTTTATGGGGAGACTACCCACAGAGTATCTGATCATACCAATGATTTGAGCATCCTCCTCCTTGGGCACCCATAAATAAGTTGGTTTTAGAATTGTTGGAATGTAAGTCATTCCTGAAACTTGTCAAGTGCATTCTTCAACTTAACAACTAAATTACTATCATCGTTACTGAGCTGTAAAAGATTCATCAGCAAAAACAAGGTGGATAAGATGGCCCTAACTAGTTGTGCAATGATAGTATCTTTTTTCCGATCTAGTTTCTCCACCACCGCGAACCCCAGTTAGATTCAGGCATGCCACACTTTTGAGAATATCCACGGCCACAACAAATGGATAAAGCAAAAGGGTGTCCCCTTGTCCAAGCCCCATGAGCTTTGAAAGAAACCAGAAAGTTCACCATTTATGTCTTCATCTTCTCATTTGCTTAGGAAACCCAAATGACTCCTAGGCATCCATTAAGAAACCCCAACCAAT